TGCTGAACTGTTGCTCTGTACAGCTCTGTTAACTGTTGCAAACTGCTCAGATTAAGAAATGGCTCACTAAATATTTCAGGGTTGAATGAGTGTTCATTTCTAGTACCTTGGTGGTCTTTTGCAACTTTCCTGAAGAACTAGTACTTTCCCTGTTCCCTCCCCCACCACTGTTTTGGCAAATAAGTCTGATAAGAGATAGAAGTCTGCTGTGTTGTGAATCATTTTCTGTAGAGTCTTTGTAAATCTGTGTCACTGCAAGAGAAATGACTTAAAAATAAGATTTCATGATAATTTTAGTGATTTATTGTCTGATTTGTACTGTGTTCACCAGCAAGCTGTGGATAGAAGGGGCAGGTCTACTGTTCTTCAGTAAGTTTTGACCTTCCTTAGGCTACTGGGGAGATTACAGAGCAAATAGGACGTGAAATAATAGCTGCTAGTAATTGCTTAGAATGTGTTAATGCTGAAGCAAATTTAGGTAAAGTGCAGTCTTTGGTGGCATAAAGCATGACTAAAAGTTGTTTTCTCTGAATGCTTATGTTGCCTCCTGTTGTTGGTCCCATCTGCCCCCTGGGAGGACAGCTGGAAGCAGCAGAGGTGACTGTCTTTCAGGCCATGGAAAAGTGTTTATCCAACGCTGTGCTGAAAATGTAATTGTTCTGATATCAATTCTCTCTGAATTTGTGTTCCTCAAGCAAAGTGCTGTGTTTCACAAAGGATGTCTAACGAGTACGTAGTCCTCTGACTCATGATCTGTGCATATTTTATTATTCTGGTTTCAGCAAAACTACTGGTATTCTTTGGGCAGAAATTACTCTGAAATATGGAATAAGGATAACTCAAGCTAGTGATACAGGAAACTGTTTCAGAATGGGAGACTGTGCTTACTCCATATGCTGAGAATAGTACCTTGTAATTGGTCACAGAACCAGACGTGCATATCTTCAGGTTAAGCTGTTCCTCCTTATAAGTATCTCTAAATATTCATGAGGCTGGGAGAGTCAATGCAGCTTGTTAGGGCACTTGTGCAAGGCATGGTGTGCTCAGACTTCAGTCCTTACTCTTCTGAATATTAAAATATTTCAAATAGACCTCTTTCATCCAAAAGAATACCCAAAGCCTAAATTCTTTGGCACTAAGAGGTGGAAAATGTAAAATCAGGTGTCTTTAGGGAGAACAGGGATTGGAAGCTGGAATTCTTACATTGTTCTAAGTGTGCTTCTATGTACTCTTCTGTGTAACTGGGGAGGACAAGGATCTTCTCTCTTCAAGTGAACCTATGTGTGTGATTTAACAGGTGTTAGAACATATCCATGTCCTGCCCTGTCTTATGGGAAGATTGTGTAATATGTGCTGCTGCTCTTCTGCACAGTGCCTGGCATAAAATGCAATGTGTTGCTGGTATCAGTTCAGCTTTTACCAGCTCTGAGGCCTCCCTTTCTGTTTCCTTGCTATGCTGAAGGAATTGTGTCCTCTCGCCTTCATTCCAGGTCTCTCAGCAGTTCCAGGGAAAGGCACTGCACAGCACAGCACTGTTAGGGCTGTTCGATCAAGCCCTGGGTGAGGCCTGAGCAGGAGTTCAGGCTGCAGAGTTTTTATTCAATCATGTTTGCCACTAAGTTCTCTAGAGAGAGCCAGGATGAATGCTGTAGTTAAGCAGATCTTTTCCCTCAAGCCTGGATACCTTGACGATTCCCAGCCTGGTCTGTCTTGGGGTGAATGAGCTAAACAGGCTCTGTTGAGATGTTTGCTTTCTTTGCTTTTTCTCAGGCTGTTCTGTTCAACCTGTGCATTCCCCAGGCCCATGTGATAGCTGTAGAAAGCTGCCTGAAGCATGAAGCAGTTGTCCTCATGTTAAGGACTCACATTTGGAGGTTACTGTTTTTGCTCAAATCAAAGGAAAGTACCATAAATTTGTACCACACCATTAGCTCCAAAATGAAGCGCAAAAGTTGCGACAGTATCATTATTCTTATCCACAGCCAGTAGCTGGTTGATGTCAAGGTGATTGCCTGAAGTAATCTGTTGATGTAAACTGAGGTTAATGTAAAATGAGATTGATATAAGCTTGGGTGAACTCAGTGGAACTGAAGTGGAAAGCAAGGCAAGACTTTGTGCTAGTTATTGATGTTCTTCCAAATAGCTAGTTCTCATTTATGCCCATATTCCAGTTGATTTTCCCATCTCCTTTTGTGTTTGCTTTTGGAGTAAGGCTGTGAGATGCTGTGTTTAGTGTAGTTTTGGTATAACAGTGGTGAATTGTTGCTTGGTACTTGTTAAAAGATCTGGAAGAGAACAATGCAAATTTGTGTTACTTTGCTAGAAAAACAAAATAGCAGTGTTCAATAATAGGTCTATTTGGGCTGGGCTTTTTTTTCTAGTTAGTTCATGAATCCAAACAGTGAGTTATTCTCAGTCATAATCAAATGTGATTTAGTGGGATTTTAGTAGGATTTAACATATTGAGTTCAACCAACTTGTTTTAAATTTCATAGAAGTTCTGGAAAACAACACGTTAAAATGAAGATTAATTCCCGTGGCAGAAGATTAGCAATCTCTTGCAGTCTATGAAAGATGAAAAACTTTGATGAGTCCCTTAAGGGTTATGTTTTCTTAATCCCTTAAGCATTTCCTGTTTTCTGCATTTGGCTTTTTTTCTTTAAAGCATGTTTTCCCTTTTTAATTCCAACCAGACTGTGGATGAAAAGGGATGGAGACACAGGCTACTATGCTCTTACTTCAAGCATAGCTGTTCTGGAAACAAGATCTGTAATATCCTAGCTAGAAGTGCTATTTTTAGCTCTTGCAAATCAAGACAATCTAATCCAGTGTGAAGGAACAGACTTTAGAAATCCAGTCTTGCAAATGTCATAATTCTCACATGCATATTGATGTACCTGTGTGGTCATATTACTTTTCTAGATGTTGCACTTGTTAATGTTGTTAAAAGAGAGAAGGAAAGGTAACATACTTCAAGAAAGTCATGTCATGCTGCTACACCCTTTACAAGGAAGTTCGTGTAAATTTTACCCTTCAAGTTAAGAACCAATGGAAGTTTGTTCCAAAAGAACATTTAAGCTTTCCTTGGGGTCCAAGATTTTGAAGCTAATACAATTCTAGGATTGTTCCAGGGAAATTTTTGGCAGAGTTATCTATCATTGCCAAAGTTGATGCATTTGTAGTTCTAAACATGATATCCTGCTCAGTGATCAGTCTTGCACAATGGCCCTGATATCTCTGTTTATTCTCAGACTTATGATGAAAAGTCTGTGAAGTACTAGAACTATGTTCTAAAAGGACTGCATAATTGCAGGACATCTTTACCTTCAAGCATCTTTACCCACCCTGTGTCCTTGCTCCTAGGTGTGACCTAAGCACTGTACACAGAGAGCCCAGAGGCACATCAAGCAGGACAAAACAAGTCTGTTGGTTATGTTAGAGAAAGCAGAGTCTGAGCTCTTGACGTGTGGGTAGTTGTAAAAGGTTCATTCCCTGGAGCCCAAGCTCATGTGCCTTTGTACCTGTGATCTGAGGGCAACTGGCAGCCTGAAATAGCTCTGATGAGCCTGCTCTAAGTTCTGTATTG